TTTGCGGAGATACTCCAAAGCAAAGTAGATAGACAGTTTGGCAAGGGCCAGGGTCACGGGCAATTGAGCATCGGTGGAAGCCGCAGCAGCCATGTCGTAAAATCGTTTCGCCAGGTGAATATCCTATGATTTGGAAACATACAAACATGAGCGGATATTAATTTGAATCGTAAGGAACGGCCATACCACGGGGATTAATAGCCAGTGAGCAGACAGTGTCGGTCAAAAATGCTTGACCACAACAAATAACTATACTTTTGCCGTTATATTAGTGCTAGGTGCAAGAATAGGCAGGACCTTGTGATCAAGGTTTACTGAACAACTGGGATAATTCTTACTAGTATTGACTTTGAAAATGTGACATTTGCCAGACTAGAAAACGTTTATTTTTGAATGGGATCAAAGCGCCCAATTCTTTCGCGCCACTTACTAAGCGTCCGTTAACTCTATGAATAATCGATATTTCCCTTTAATTGCTCACGAAGCATGCCGTTGGCAGTTAGACTCCGTCCCGGAGCAGACATTTTCAAGCAAGGCGAATTTATTATTTTCGTAACTTGTAAAAAATCCTTAAAGTCATTATAAAATGACATGTATCCAAGTTTTTGGACATATCATAAGGTAAATAAACTTTTTTAAGTTGAAAAGCGTCATGGGAGTTAAAGACACAGGAGAATAACAAAAAAATCACCAAATCCTATTATTTTTAGAGAGCAGAAGTTTTTATGGGTCGGCGTCAATTAACGTCTCGATAAAACTTCGTGTCGAGCTGTGAACAGGATAAAAACGGCAACTGCCAAAATAATGACATACCTAAATAGGTCCTAATATTAAATGTGGTATGTCATAATCTCAAAATATTACAGTCACGCCACAATGACGGCTTTTGCACGGACTTTTTTCGATCGCCTATCTTTCGATTTTGGAAAACATGTCCAATTCTCTGACCATGTTGAGCTCGACCTGCGGTCTCACTTGCATTCAAGGTTTTCAAAATACATGCTGCATAGATTTGGTATAGAATTAATAGAATTACTAGGAAGATAGCATACTGCACTCATGAAATTTAGGAATAGGTGAGGGCCAGTCGCATACCTTATAAAAAGCAGTAATCACTGGATGGATACGATGTTTCATTAATGATATTTCATTGTCTTACAAAACTCTTAAAATTAGAACTTTTAAAAACCCTATAAAATTTGAATAAGATATGCTTTGCTACTAAATGAGAAGGAGAAATATTATTTTCCTGTATGTGTTCTATTAACTATATTTTCATTTACAAATATATCCAGATCGACGATAAGAAATCAAATTACTTATATATTCTGTTTTTACAGGGGGTAACTTTCACAGGCAAT